TATCATTTAATTTGCCAAATCAAACAATTGTTAAAAAAAATGAAATTAAAACTGTTTTGATTCTTAAAACAGATCATAAACATTCTTATTTTACTATAATACTTGCTTGTCTTGCAGATAATATTAAACTTTCAATTTTAATCAATTTTAAATTAGTTAATATATCATTAAAACAATTTTCAAAAGGTATATTTGTTTATACAAATCCTAATGGTTAGAAGGATAAAATATAATAATTTGGTAAATCAAAAATATGTGGCAATAATAAACCAATTTGAGTTTAAATTTATGTTTACTTCTTATTCTTGACTCTTTTACTGTCCATATAACAAATTCTATAAAAAATCAATTTAAAGAAAAAAATACTGAAATTACAATAATTCTAGATGGATTGACTTTACATTTACAACCATTAAATTTATTTTTAAATAAAGCATTTAAAATTAAGATTACTTTTAAATATAAAATTATTTTAATTTTTTAATTTTAAATTTATTTCTAATTAGGTTTGTTATGCTTATAATTGTTGAATAAATAAATCTATAAAAGAATATACATCAAAAGGCAAAACTAAAAGACCTTCATATTTACAAGTAACAAATTGGATTAAAGAAGCTTGGGATAAAATCAATCCTTTAATGATTTAACAATTTTTTAAATACTATAAAATATTAATCACAGTAAAATAGATAACTCAGAAAATAATTTTATTTTTGATTTTGAAAAAGTATTAAAGAAAAAAGATGTAGAAATTAATATTAAAGAAGAGAATGAAATTAATAGTGAAATGTGTAAAATCAATTTAGAAAATAAATATTATAAATAAGAAGAAAGAAATTATATTAATGTTTTAAATTGAAAAATAGAAATAGAATTAATTTTTTTTTAATCATAAAAAAAACATTAGATACAAAATTTTATTGATATATATTAATATTCAGATTCTATCAAACATCTTTACAAAATAAATCTGTAAATTAATGCTAACCTATCTATAATATAACTATTACTACTCTTAGTATACTTAATATACATTAAATTCATTTTAGTGCTGAATTTTTCAGAGCTAATATGCAAAGTTATTAAATTACATAAAGGCACTGTAGCCATGATCCTCAGGTTGGCCTTCAAACTTATAACTTGGGCAGGCACTTGTTGATATGTAGATGGCACTACATGTAAATCAAGGAATAGTAGAAGAAAATGGTTTGCTTTAAGAGAAAAACCAGTGTTGTTGATACTATAAGTGGTTGATGATAATTGGTAGTAAAAGGAGTAGTTGATTTTATTTGTAGGGATATTGTTGTTATTAATAGTTAAGAATTGGATTTTGAATATACTGTTTGAACCTGTGAAATCATTATAACAGTTTTTGGAGTATTGTGTTGTTGATTGGGTTTTAATGTTGTTACTTGGACTTGTGAAACCATAAGGCAACTATTTAAGGGCTGAGTAAAACATGTGAAAAGCCCAACATTTTCATATAAATAAAATATTAAAGTTGTTGTTACTTGAATAGAAAATGTTGGGATTATTATTATTATAATTGGAAAAATTGTTGGAGTGTTGTAATATAAGGCTGGTATTATTGTTATATTGAATAGGTTTAATTCTTCAATTTAGATTTAATTTTATCAGGATAGTATTCTTGTATAGTATTTTGGATAGTGCTTTTCTTGTTGATTTTCTATTTTATCAATAAATTCAAATTAAAATAATATTTTTATATAGTGTCTTGAAAAGTGCTTTCTTACTGATTCTCTTATTTATTCCAGTTCATATTTAATTCTATTAGAATAGTATTCTTGCATAGTGCTTTGACCAGCACTTTTTCTGCCAGTCAGCATTTTTTCTGTTAATTTTCCTATTTTATTATTGTATAAATTCAAATTAATCAGGATAGTATTCTATATAGTATCATTATCAATATTTTTCTTACCGATTCTTCAACTAGATTTAATTAAATAGTATTCTTGTATAGTATCTCAGACAGTACTTTTCTTGCCAATTCTTTATTTATATAAATTTAATATTCTTACATAGTGCTTTGATAAGTACTTTTTCTACTGATTCTGCTATTTTTATTTCAGCTCATATTTAATTCTGTCAGGATGGTATTCTTGTATAGTGTCTTGGGCCAGTGTTTTTTCTCCTGATTCTCATATTTATTTTAATTTATATTTGTATAGTACTTTTGTCAATGCTCTTCCTACTGATTCTTTTGTTTTATTTCTATATAATATATTAATTCTTTTATAACTAATATCTAAACTAGTCTTGATGATATTCTTGAATATTGCCTTGACTAATGATTTTCCTGCTGATTCCCCTACTCTAATACTTAAATCAAATAAGATTGTGTTATTGAATAATGTTTCATCCAGTACAATATTTTTTCTGTCAATTTTCTATTCTGTTAAGGTGATACAACTGTGTAGTATTTTAGTTAATGTTTTTCTGATCCAAGGTATTCTTAGGGAAATAAGAGTCAAAAAATACTTAGGTATTAATCAATTAATATAAGTATTGAAATTAAAAAGTATCTAAACACTATCTGCTAATATGATCAGTATAGATATTAATAGTACTTGAGTCTTTATTACAAGGAGTATTATTTTATAGGAATATTATATACAATAATAAACAGTATATACTTGATTAATTTGTCAAGATTTTACTTATTTTATAAAAATTTTATTTTATTTTATATATTTTAATAAATTTAGTTACAATTAGGTATTTTATAATAATATTGATTCCTAATATAAATGATTTGTTTATATTTTTTTTAATTGTTATGATTTTTTTTTTCAACTTATAAAGATACAGCAGAATAAAATACTTGATTGAAGTTTACTCAAGTTTAGAAGTCTTTTTTATTTTTTAGTTACACAAAAACTTAATAATTTTTTTCTTTTGTTTTTTTATATTTCTTCTTATCTTTATTATATTATAAAAACCATTCATATTAATATTATTATACTTATTAAATTAAATACTTTACAAAAAATATACTTAAACAAAGTTGTTAAGTTTATTGTTTATTTTAATACAATACTTACATATAATTTTATTATGACACTACTTACTTTACTATTTCAAAATTTCCAAAAAATTGAAATTAATTTATTTTTTTCAAATAATAATTATTTTTTAATTATTCGATCAGATTTTATCAAAACAATAAAACAAAAACTAAATCTGTTCAAGTTGGTTTTTTAATATAATAATAACAATAACAACTATTACAATAATAAACAATATTAATTATACTTTATTATTTATATTAACAAAAGTTATGTCTTTAAGATCAATACATAAGCTAAACAATTAATCTTATTTTAAATATTATTTTTGTTTATATAAATCTTATATTTTAATTTACTTAGTTTTAGTTTTAATAGTCTATATTATTATGATGTTGTAGAGTGACGTGACAAGTCCATTGTTTCAGTCTGGCCTATACTATATAATGGTCATTAGATTGTCTTACTTTGAAATAGGTATGTATATTTTTGATCAGGTATATATTGTTGATCTGTTAATTATTATAATTTATCAGATGTGATCAACCCTTTTCTTAATTGCTTTACTTACTTTTATATTTCTTTACTATATACTTAATATACCAAATATACTAAATATATTTGATATACTTAATATACTTAATATACTTGATATATTTAATATACCTGATATATCTAATATACCTAATATACTTGATATACTTGATATACTTATTATATCTAATAGACCCAATTATCTTTCTTTCTTTATTTATCTTTTTGTATAACTATTTTTATCTTTAACAATGGCTCCAGTTTATTTTTATTTTTAATTTTTTTTTACTTTCTATTTTTTTTATATCCAATTAAAAAAAATCTGAGTAAATAAGCATAACTGCCATTTAGCTATATTTAGTATTATTATAAGTGTTGATAATACTATTTTTAGATTCTTATTTTATAATATTATATTACTCAAAACCTGTGAATCTGTAGTGTAATGGTTAGCACTCCACAGGTCAAATCACAAGATATCTGTTCAACTTCATGTGAGAATAGTTAAATAGAATTAATATGATATCTGATGCCATAACTTGTCAAAAGTACTGTTTTTATGAGAAATCATTTCATACGCTGATCTAGCAGATGATGAGATTATTTAATTCATCGAATGTATTAATATATAGTGAAAGGTCAAGAAAATATAATCTTGGTTTTAATTTGAGTTAAAAAATCACTTTTCAAAAATAATATATTGTTAATGGTTAATATCGCTGTTCAATACCTTTTGATTTGTTCATTTAATCGCGAATTTACCAAAACCACAGGATCTACAAATGAATGAAATTAGATGTCGATTGTTATAGGCTCCGGCGAGTCTGTCGCCAACCAAAATTATTTCTCCGCGTAATATCGGGTAGGTTAAATGTTTGCTTATTTGAATTCTTAGGTGCATTTATGATTTAACTAAGTCTTCTGCCGCTTACTAACTTTACACCTTCTGATTAATACCTAGAACCCTATTTAGCTTCTAAAACTTTCCAAATCCTTCTAGACAAGCTACGGTTTTATAGTCACGCGAGCAAGTTATAAGCGCACACGACAGGTGATACGAATAACACTGGCAAGCGTTTATATTTATTAAAACACTTAATGCTAATACCATTCTCTCTCACACATGCCATCATATTACGCATGTATTTATACATGCGCCTATTGTTTACATGTTTCCATCCGTTTATCATCCTATGCTATTCTAAGAAATTTCTCTTCTAAATTTTCCCATCTTATTTTCTGTCGTCTTTCGCGACAACATGACGCAACGTGATATCGCATCACGCATCTGCCTGTAACACTATAGAAAATATGAAAGAAGTTAACAAATTCTATAGACAAATTTTAATGATATGTTATGTGAAAATATGAAAGAAGTCGACAAAGTTTTAAACAAATTTTAATGGTATGATATGTGAAATTAAAAAAATAAACATTCCACTATATGGCCTTGTAAATTTTACAATTCACTATGTCGGTTTCTATATATAACTGTTGTTGTTGCGTGCTCTTTGTTATTATGCGGCCGGAATATTTGTGTAATGACATTGACGTGTTTTTTATCATCCCATGATACAATATATTGACCATAGTTGCCTTTATCTTGATTTTTTTTGACAAAATTTTCCATTTTTCTCATGTCATTATTCATTTTACGGGAGCATGACATGCAATTTTCACAATCCCCAGATCCACCCAACAAATTTGCAATAATATGACATCGTTCATCACCATTATGAGCGCAATGACAATAGTATTTGATTTTTTCGCCTTTATCATTATTTTTCGTATTAATTTGAATAAATGAATTATTTTTCTTATCATTTAAACAATTTTCCTTAGAGGGACATGTCCTTATGTTATGACCCTCTTTTCTACAGCAGCCGCATTTGTGACTTTTAATTGAAGGAGGCGAACAATTCTCCTTAGAAGGACATGTTCGTATTTTATGTCCCTCTTGTCTACAACAACTACATTTGTGACTTTTAATTGAAGGAGGCGAACAATTCTCCTTAGAAGGACATGTTCGTATATTGTGTCCCTCTTGCCTACAACAACTACATTTGCTTTTGACAATAGGAATAAAATTAAATATCATTAAAAATAAAAAAAAAATAAGCGATATTTCGTGAAAAAGTCATTTTTATGAGGTTGAAATTTTGGATTTATCGTATAAATACGAATACATTTTATATTTACATGGGTGATACAATAATACGTTACATTGGATAAGGACTTGACACTACAACAATCGAGATTAGTATTGCTGTCAACTCTAAACAAAAGAAAGATTGATCATTACTGTAATTGACTGTATTAATTACTACAATCAACTAAATTAATTTTTCGATGTTTTGACAAAATGTTGATCATTCTATAATGAACTTTTAACAAAACTAATCTACCAAGTAGTTTACCAAATTTAATTTAATCCCGTGCACAAATTGATTTGTATTAAAGAATATAATATATGCTATTACTTACCGTGGCGGTAAGATTTGATGTAGGAATTAATTTACTTTGTATAAATTGTTTTGGAGTTTCATATTTTTTATTATTATTAAATATGTCATTTTTTAATTCGAATTACAGTAGATATCGACTCCAGATTCATGGTTTAAAAAAATACTTTTTTAGAAAAAACGCAGGTAATTATTCCAAGGGAGTAAAAATCTAAAGCAAGAGTTATGTATTACAAAGATCTAATAGGATCAGAAGCAATATGTAATCTTATTTTTTGAACAACCTTAAGTGGTACTGTATTTGGAATATGGGATTGAATTTTAAGAATTACAGTGCCTACATCTATATTATTGCACAATCAAATAATTAGCAATGTTATGTATATAATATATAAAATCTACTAATTATTACTGTAATAATTATTTAAAAAATATAAAAATATTAATTTTTATCTTTTAAAATTTATATTTTATTATTTTTTTTTTTTGATTTATTACAATTGATAATTCTACGTTAAAAATTATTTTTACATAGGGAAATAAATTTCCATAATCAATTTATAATTATAAAACAAGAAACCTGTTTTGTAAATATTGTTTTTTCATAATAAGAAAATCAAATTTTCAATAATTTATTCAAAAATATTACATATTATTCTGTATTAATTAAATATAAACTTATAAAGATTATATGAATACAATAAATTCATCTGATAAAATATTCATTAAATCTATTTTAAATATTTTAACTTATTATATTATAAAAAATATTAAAATTATTTATTATTTGACAAAAAATAATTTATTTTCAAATGGTTTAACATTTAAATTTACTTAATTTAATTGATAAATCTACAAATTATTAAAATCTTATTGCTAAATATAAGTTTTTAACAATTGTTTCTTAAATTTTAGAAAAACAAAATATGAAATAATATTATTCTACTTTAATATTTGAAATAAAAAGCTAATATAACAATAACCAAATCTTTAAATATTTATATTTACTACATAATTCAAGAAAATTATAAAATAATCCAACCTTTTAATTAGAAAAACATTATTTTTATAATATTATTTTAAAAATATTTAAACAATTAATTAATTATTTTATATATTTTAAAAAATTCATAGATCTTTTGTAATAAATTATATGAATTTGCTTTTGATAATGTTTCAATTATGCTTAAAAAACATAAAAGTATTATGACAAATTAAGTCAATAATATTTTTATTTTATTATTAATTATTATGTGGCCTATAACTTAGTATTAATTTATAAAAACTTCTAAAAACAAATAGTATTTTATAAATAAGGTATAAATATTACAAAAGATATAATTTTTTTAAAAATTCAAGTTCAAAAATTTAAAGTTTAAACAATATTAAAAAGTATTTAAAATTTTTCAGCTTAAATTAAAAAATTTTTATAAAATTCCTTATTAAATAATTTTTAAATATTAAAAAATTTAATATTATTATATTTGTACTTCTTGAAATACTTTTAATAATAATTCTAATATTGTTTAAAATTTATATCAAATATTATTTAATTGATATACAAAGTCCAGTGGAACTATAGTGCATTAATAAATCATTGATATATTAGTACTAGTGTTACAGGTTCAATTCCAAATAATGGTAACAGACTGTAAATATATTCCAGTAAATCACATTATTAATCAATCATATACTGTATATAATGTGAGTATATGTGCCTAATAATCCCAGTTAATATCTTGTAATCCTGGTTAAGGCCCTTTTAGTAAATTTTAGTTTTATTGACAAGTACTCTGTTTAATTACAAGTTCAGTATAAGATGTAAAAGATTAATTAACAACTGTTACTAAAGCATCACATGTACTATAAAATACTTACTAGTTAATTTGAGCTTGAGATAAAATCTTGTTTAGACTTTGGAAACAACATATAGAGCTGATAAGTATCAGTTGCTTGATTATTAGATATGCACAATGTATAATGGCTATAATTAAAAATTAATCTTTTTTAATTTTAGTCCAATGGAGCTATAGTGTATTGATAAATTATTAGTATATTAGTACTAGTATTACAGATTCAATTCAAGTAATAACAACAGACTGTAAATCTATTTCAATAAGTTGCATTATTAATTGACTGCATGTTACATATGATATGAATAATATTATGTATTTTATAATTCCAGTTGATATATTGATAATCTTGTGAGGACCTGTCTAGTGAAATACTAGTTTGTAAGATAATACATTTTGCTTAATTTCAAGTTCAGTATAAGATATAAAAGATAAATTGATAATTGTTACTAAATTATCACATGTACTCATTGATTAGTTTAGGCAAAAAGTAAAAATTTTGTTTAAATTTTGATAGCAATGTATAGAGCTGATAAGATTAGTTGCCTAACTATCAGATATATATGATATATAATAATCATAACTGAAAATTAATCCTTCTCAATTTTAGTTCAGTGGGATTATAGTATATTGATAAATTACTAATATATCAATACTAATATTACAGATTCAATTTCAAGTAATAGAAATAGACTATAAACCTATTTCAATAAGTCATATTATTGATTAACTGCATGATACATATAATATAAATAATATTATATATCTGATAATTTCAGTTGACATTTCTATAATCTGGTGTGAACTTGTCTAGTGAAATGTTAGTTTGTAAGATAATATACTCTGCTTGATTTCAAGTTCAGTATAGAATATAGAAAATAAATTAACAACTGTCACCAAAGTATTATATGTACTATAAAATACTTACTAGTCAGCTTGAGCAGGAAGTAAAAATTTTATTTAGACTTTAGTAACAATATATAAAGTCAGTAAGTATCAGTTGCCTGAATATTAGATATATATGATATATAATAGCTATAACTGGAAATTGATCCTTCTTAAATATTTATAACTATTTTCATTGATCTTTTAAATAATACTTCAAAATGGTATTCAAACCAAAGTATATCTTTATTTTTAACAAAATCTATATACTCTCTTTAATATAACTTGACAGACCTATAGTAATCCTATAGTAATATAAAAACTCTCTCCTGATTATGTTTATTTTGTTAAAATTTTTCTTTTATAGTAATTTTAAGCAAGAAAAAATATTTTACACTCTTTATCACAAGTGAGCCCAGCTCAAGAACTCAAGAATCTTCAAGATAACTGGTGCAGTGGGATGGAACCTCTGGCCAAAGTTTACTCAAGTTTGGGAGTCTTGTTTATTCTTTGATTGCATAAGAAAAGGCCTGTGGCAGTTCTCTTGCACCTCTTTTTCTTTCTATTATATTATAAAAACTATCCACATCAATACAATTATACTCACTAAACCAAACACTTTCCGAAAAACACATTCAAACAATGTTGTTGGGTCTATTGTTTGTTTTAACACAACCTTTATATACAATCTTATTATAATGCTACTTACTGTGTCATTCCAAAATTTCCAAAAATTTTTTTTCAAAAAATCAAAATCAGTTTACCCTCCAAATGATCATCACTTTCTAATCATCCAATCAGATTTTATTAAAATAACAAAGAAAAAACTGAACCTGTTTAAACTGGTTTTTCAATATCACCACAACAATAACAACTATTACAATAACAAACAATATCAACTATACTCTATTATTCATGTTAACAAGAGTCATGTCTTTAAGACCAATGCTGGTACAAGGGCCAGACTATTGGTCACCTTTTAGATATTCTTTTTGTTTATATATATTTTATAGTTTAAGTGACTTAGTTTTAATTTCAATAGTTACAATTGTTATTTTTTCATTTATCTTATATTCAAAAATCAAAAGATTTCACAAAATTTTGTCAAGTAAATAGGCATAGCTGCTACTCCACTATTTAATATTTTGATATTGCTTTTAAAATTTTTTATAATATTAGTTAGATAGTGATCAAGTAGGCAAGCTAGCATTTAATTTGTTATATGCAATATGCATCCAAGAGAGATTGTTTCTTTTTCAATATATATATATTCAGTATATGATAATAAATAAAAAAATAATGTTTATCTGCTGGGGAAAACCCTCCAAAAAATAAACTATTATATTATACAAATATATTATAAGTTTATTTAACTTTTGATATTATACCTATATATAATTTAAGATATCAGTTTCATATGTCATGTTTTTATTCTATGTTATATGCTGTATTTTATAACATGCCTTATTTTATTCATATATTTTTTATATTAATATTATATAAAATATACTTTTTCTTATAAAGTATAAAGTAATAAGTTCATAAGTATCATGAATTGCATAAGTGAACAGTAGGAATTTAAAAAGGAACCTAATGACAACTAATATGCTAAATCACAGTCAGACCTTTACAAAAACTAAAAACACAAGATCAGGAAGTTTAAAACTGGAGTCAGGATTTCTACCTTCTTGATGTTTTTCTCCTGACATGTGGATCTACTCATGCAGTGCAGTTGATATGTTGGGATAAAAAAAGCAATAGGCTAGCATTAATTTTAATAGATGCTTAATGTAATGACAGTACTATCACTTAGTAAATAAATTCTTGCATTTTATGCTTATTTGCAAACAATATATATATATATATATTTTTCCTTATAATATTTATTAAAATATTTTGAAATAAAATGTTTTTAATTGATTTTTTTCTAATATTTGCTTAATTATGATTTTTTTTTGAATAAACAATAAATTTGGAATTAATTTTTTGCTTATTTTATATAAAATTTTGATATGAATTATAAGATAAAATTTTTTGTAATTTCTTTTTTACTTGACATTTAATAATATAGAGAAGCCTCTTTAAATGTACTCACAATGTTTTCTTTCTCTAAATACATGGTCAAGCTTGATTCCAAGTATATAAAACTATTAATAAAATTATCTCTCGAAATGCTCATTTTTAAAATACTCTCCTATGGTCCTGAGAAAAGCACAGTTAAAAAGAGTTTAATATATTTATTCACCTTTAAAAAATAGCTTTTGTGTATGTTTTTATATAAAAATTTTTTTTTTCAAAATTCTATTTATATTCTCTAATTAATAGAGATAATTTATTCTTTGTCATAATAAGTAAGCCCGAACTATCTCTTTACGGACAGTAACCAAAAACTTGCGTTTAAGGTATGTCTTTTAATCCCTGAGGAGCATTATAGTTTAGTCATGTTTTAATCTTGCTAAATTTTCTTGAATTGTTTTGTTTATTTTTTTCTCAGGTCAAGACCAAAAGTTTTTTACAAATAAAAAGGCACAAATTGTTCTTGGTTAAATACTTATCTGTTTTCTATTCTGAGAATTACAGGATTTTTTTATAATATAATCTAATTACAACCACTTATATTTATTTTTCCTGACATACTTACTTGCATCCCACTTCATAAAGTAATAATTATCAATTTTCTGCCATAGCATTCATTAGGCGTTAAAAAATTACGTTTTGTGTCACCTAATAAACCTAATCCTGCCCACAACGTTATTAAACTATTATTTTGTGAATATAAATAGTTTTTTATGTTACTGTATTAGCATAGTATTCAATACAGATTTTCTAACCACAAAAATTCTCCGTAATCGACATCTCCAAAACCCAAACTATAAAATAAGCTTCATCGTGAATCCAGTAACTTTTTCACTCTCACAAGTTATAATGTTTTTTGATTTTTAGAATGGGACATTGATCTATCTGTAAAATCTTTGAACTTGACCTGTCTACGCCCAAATAAGATTTAATTTATCAAATGCAATAATATATAGAGAAAAATCAAGGAAATCTAATATTGACTTTAATTTGAGATAAATAAATCACTTGTCAAAAATAATAAATTGCCTGTGGTTAATATTAATGTTCAATACCTTTTTATTTTGTTCATTTTATCGCGAATTTATCAAAATCACAGGATCTATAAATGAATAGAATTAGATGTCTATTGTTATAGGCTTCAGCGAGTCGGTCGCCAACCAAAATTATTTCCCAGCGCAACATTGAGTGGGTTAAGTGTTTGCTTATTCGAATTTTTAGACAAGCTCCAGTTTTATAGTCGCGTGAGCAAGTTATAAGCGCACACAACGGGTGATACGAATAACAGGTAAGAGTTTAACCTTTAGAACAGTATATTTATTAAAACACTTAATGCTAATACCATCGTCTCCCACACATGATATCAGATTGCGCATGTATTTATACGTGCGCCTATTGTTTGCATGTTTTCATCTGTTTATTATCCTATGCTATTCTAGAAATTTCATCTCTCTAAGTTTTCTCATCTTATTTTTCCGCTTTTCGCGACAACAACACGACCCAACGTGATATCGCATCACGCAACAGTCTGTAACACTATAGAAAATATAAAAGAAGTTGTCAAATTATATAAACAAATTTTTATGGTATGATATGTAAAATTAAAAAAATAAAAATTACACTACTTTAACTTGTAATTTTATAATTCGTTATGTTGTTTTCTATATATAACTGTTGTTGTTGCGTGTTCTTTTTTATTATGCGGTCGGAATATTTGTGTAATGGCATTAGCATATTCTTTGTCATCCACATATACAAGATATCGACCATGGTTGCCTTCATCTCGATTTTTTTTGACAAAATTTTCCATTTTTCTCATGTCATTATTCATTTTACGCGAGCATGACATGCAATTTTCACAATCCCCAGACCCACCCAACGAATTTGCAATCATGTGACATTTTTCATCACCATCCTGAGCGCAGTGACAATGGGGTTTGATTTTATCCCCTTTAGAATATTTTTTCGTATCAATTTGAATAACCGAATTATTTTTCTGATTATTCAAACAATTTTCCTTAGAAGGACATGTTCGTCTATTATGTCCCTCTTGTTTACAACAACTGCATTTGCTTTTGACAATAGGAGTAAAAGTAAAGATCATTAAAAATAAAATAAGATAAACGATATTTCGTGAAAAAATCATTTTTACGAGGTTGAAATTTTGGATTTTTCGCATAATACGAATACATTTTATATTTCACGGTAATACTACGACAATCGAGATCACTGTAGTATTACTGCCAACTCTCAGCAAAAGAAAGATTGATCATTACTGTAATTGACTGTATTAATTACTACAATCAACCAAATTAAAATTTGACAAAATGTTGATCATTCTATAATGAACTTTATTTTAACGAAACTAATTTACCGAATTTAATTTAATCACGGGCACTAATCGATTCGTATCAAAAAATATTAACAAGATATTGTAAAGAATAATAATATATGTATTATTTACCGTGGCAATAATATTTAATGTGAATGAATTTGCTTGTGTAAGTTGTTTTGGAGTTTCATAATCCATTTTATTAGATAAGTCATTTTGACATTCTCAGTAGGATCTACACAGAATTGAATTAGATATCGACTCTACATAGTTAAAAAAATGATTTTCAGAAAAAACTCTCACGTAATTATTCCAAATGAGTAAACATCTGAAGAAAGAGTTATGTATTGCAAAGATCTCTGGTGCTATGTATATAATCATCTTTAGATTCTGCATCAATCGACAATGTAAGGCCTAAATATATAATATACAAGATCAGAGGCAATACTAATTAATATCTTTTTACTTAAAATGCGTCGTTAGCCGAAGGTTATTACAAAAAGAACCTATTTGTACATATATAGCAGCAATGGAACATTCACTAGTCATTGTCTCTAGATATGCTATAACAGTTCAAATGTAGGTTTTTATGACCATATAGTAAATCACTTTAACTTTAATGTAATAAAAAGTTTAAAATAAAGTTTAAAATGGTATAATATATACTATTTTAAATTATAATATCTCGTGTAAATTTTTGTGTCTATTTCATGATCCATGAAGTAATTTGGGTGCGATATCCTTGTTCGTCAAATTACATAAAAAACGGTCGCAAATCTGCCTTTTCCTTATTTATATTCCTGGTTCATATCAGAGTCTTAGTATTTAGTACAGTGATATTTGCCTAATAGTTGATTTCTTTCTCTTGTTACGGGGTAATTCGGCAAGAGTGTCGCAATACACAGTGATTACTCGTGTAACGTAGCACCCAGTCGACGAAATGACGAGTAAGGTAAGTTAATGTTTATCTGTTGAGGCGTGTTTTCGACTTGGTCAGTATTTACTCTAACATCTCTATCGACTAATATAGAATCCTTTTACTTGTCAATTCCCTTAGGCAGGCATCGATTGTCAGACCTGGTCGCGTAGCACAATGTTCAAGGACAGTACATTGAGCACACATGAAAAAAAGAATTTATTTCGAACTTCACTTTATTGCTACCAAATGTTAAAACGCTGGGATCTGTTTAAATGCTAGTGGATTGCGCTCATAATTATACCTACATCCATTGTTTACAAATTTACATTCTTCGATATTTCTATTTTGTTTAGAAATTTCCCGCCGTTTGCGATAACGGGCTATTGTGATGTGACGTGTCGTCGTCGTCCATTTAATTTGATGCCAATTCTATTTCTATAAAGGTTAACTTATTTCTGGGGGCTTTTATAATATTCATCGTTTATCTTATCGTTTGTTAAGGCTGGTTGGCAAGTCTATCACCAGTTTTGGATAAAACATCACATAACTTATAACAAGATAGGTAATTTAAGACTTTGGCTTTTGAGGTGACTTTGATTTGGCAGATAATTATTTAACTTCTCTTTACTAGTTCTTAGTAGATCCCTTTATTTCTACAGATTCCCTTAGGAAAATCCCGAACGTTTGTTTAGTTGCAAAGTATATGGTATACGAGAAACACGATATGAGTTTAATACATATGCTCTAAAAATTTCTTTAAATGCTGTTGAACTGACATATGCTTATGAAATTATCTACCATTTCAAACTTCTCCACTTTACTTTTAACTTCTTATAAGAGTCACAGAAACATCAAAAAAGTGGACTTGTGTATCTGAGTGAGACCTCTGATCAAAAAATTGCAAGTTTGGGAACCTTGCTTGCATAAAACAAATTTGTAATTAATATCTTCTTTCAAATTTTTCTTGATTCTTTTCATTTATATTTCTTTTCTCTTTAGATTCTCTATTTGGTTATATATATCTATTCCTTAATGATTGAAAGAATCATCAACATACTTTACAATCTATATTTGTTTATACAAAATTATTTGGAAGCCATTCTAATTATAAATCATATATTTTAGATCTTACAGCATTATAAAATTTCAAAAAATCTGTTTAAAAAAATTTTATACAAAAAAACCAAAATTAGTTTATTCCCATCAACTTATAAATACTTTATTCTCATTTAATTAATTCTTTAAATTATCAAAACTATATTCATTATATTTATTAAAGGTTAATATAAATAATCTCACACATAAAAAATTTATAATTATATAAACTTCTTTATTTAAGTACTGTATATTTTCTTTTGTCTTTAAAAAAATCAAGCCAACAGTTATATTAATTATCAAAAAATATATCAAATTAATATTTATATTAATATCATTATTAAATAACAATAATCATATTCAAACAGTTATCAAAAAAATATATTATTAATATTATTATATACTGTAAAAAGTAAGATAACAAAGTTTGAAAGTATAATTATACTTCAAATAAATAAAACTATCAAAGTAATATATCTAGATATCATGCATAGTATAGTTAATCTTTTTTATACTTTTTAATCATAACATAATATTTAAACAACTATTATATTACTACTATTATTAGTATTACTAATCATCAATTATTATATTCAATCAACTATCAAGAATATATATTATCAATACTATTATATATTTTAAAAAGTTCATGACTATTTCAAAAAATATATTGTATTTCAAGAAAATAAAATTATTAAACTATTTTTATATTATAGTTAACATTTTAATATACAATATATTAACTTTAATATTTATTTTCTTATAATACTTAGATTATTATATAGACAGATTAATATTAAACTCATTAATTAATTGATTTTATATATATATATTTAAGGCAAAGTGCATTACATGTGAACTTTTAAATTAATTAATTATATTAAAAATATTATTATTATTTTATTTAAGTAATTATTTTTAAAATATAAATTTATTATTTTATAATTTAAAATCTACAAATTATATAATATACAGTGTGTAACAAAACTTTTTGGAATTTTTTATTTATTCATTACTCAAAAACTACTGCATAGAAATTAATAA